CATATCAATGTATTGTGTTTAGTAGACTTAGTCCTAGAACCTAGAATGCATAATAGCCCTAGCTGGTTTTGCTCAGTGGATAGATAGAGCATTGGCATGCGGACTGAAGGGTCTCGGGTTCGATTTTGATCAAGGGCAAATGCCCAGGTTTCAGGCAGAATCCCCGATGAGGGGGGCGGGGTGTGCAGGAGGCAGCTGATCAGTGGTTCTCTCTCATCATTGATGTTTCAGTCTCTCCTCTCCCTTCCTCTCTAAAATCAATAAAAGTATATATTTTTTTAAAAAAAGAATGCATAATAACATGGGCCTTCTAGTCCACAAGTAAGAACTTAGAATGGTAGAAATGAAGGGAAGGGAGGGTGAGGGGAGGGGGATAGGAGAGGAGACATGGAAGGGAGGGGGAAAAGAAGGCTCTGAAATACTTGGTGAGATTTGTATTAATTGTGTATAATAATCACAGTTTATTTTTCTAAGGAGCTTTTAATCTATCTTTTGAGGGATTCTAAAAAATTAAAATTTTATGTAAAATATTTTATCAAAATATAACACTAAGGACATTCGGAGATAGTAATTACTGAGGGAATTGCAAATTGGTGTATTTGTAGTTTTTATGCTTGCATATATACTGTTACTGTTTATCACTTAAACTAACTGCCTCTATGCCCACTTTGAGTTCTCACGTTGAGCCCAGGTTATATGCATCTGACATGTCAAGGGGCTTTGCTATGTAGTAATCATATGTCTCTCTCTCTCTCTCTCTCTCTCTCTCTCTCTCTCTCTCTCTCTCTCTCTCTCCTCCCCTTTGTCCCTCCTTCCCTTCTCCCCTCCCTCCCTTTTTTTGTAAGCTAGAACCTTTTTTTATCTGGTAAATGGGATCTTTTGCCAACTTGTAAAAAGGCCATTTTAAAACCATAATAGTTCCTTACTGTCAGTATAAATCATATGTTTAAATGACCAAAGAAAGTCTCATTGCGATTGAGACTATAAAAGAACCAAAATTAAGAGACTGCATAGTGAAAAATTGAAGGGCTAGATTTAGCTGTGAGGGGTGTTTGCTTATCCTGTATGATGATTTTAAAAAATGATTTACCCATCAACATTTAATGAGAGAATTTTAGACAATATATTTTATGCAATCTCACAAAAACATTAAAATACCTAACAATTAAAACTCTCACAGAGTTTTAATAAAACTGGAACTGAAAGTTACCTTTCTACATTGATTGTTGAAGTATTCCAGATATTTTTGCCTAACCTCCTTCTTCATGCAGTCATGGTGATCTGTCTGCCGCCTTAGCATTTGTGAATTGACTGCTAGGTGTATGATACATGTTATGATGGGCATATTTAGAATTTCCTTGGTAGTTTTCTAGTCAAACTTGCAAAAATGCATACCTCCCCTGGAGGCAGCCTTACCATGTGAAACCCCAGCTTCTCTCAGTTGCCAGTTAGTGCTGCCTCAGTTCTGTGCTAGCCAGCTTCTGGACTGAGGCTGAGTTGTGACTTGGGTGAAACACATAAGCTCTATCTATCTAACTAATGGCTGTTCACTTCATTAGAGCTAAGCGCATGGCTGTTCGTGTCACAAGGATGATGAAAGATGCTTTTGTCTTTGATCTCAATATGTCCTTGAGATATTTCAACTACATGAGATTTCAGTCCATGTTTGGCTCCAACTAGTATCTATATCAGTGGTTCTCAACCTTCTGGCCCTTTAAATACAGCTCCTCAAGTTGTGACCCAACCATAAAATTATTTTCATTGCTACTTCATAACTGTAATGTTGCTACTGTTATGTATTGTAAATATCTGATATGCAAGATGGTCTTAGGTCACCCCTGTGAAAGGGTCGTTCAACTGCCAAAGGGGTCGCGACCCCCAGGTTGAGAACCCCTGATCTATATAGAAATGCCTTCCAAAGAACATCAAATAATGTACCAAAGAACAACAAATAATATACCAAAGAATTAATAATTCATTATTGAATTCTTGTTTCTTTTTAAGGCCTGGGGGTGGGGGGCAGGTGCCAGGTGGAGGGGTCAATTGGGAAAAAAGGTGACACCTGTAATACTTTCAACAATAAAGATGAATAAAAAAATAAAAATAGTCACTTAAACTAAACGACAGAATCACAAAACATGACAATACTTTACTGTTATTGATTGTATGCCTTATATTATTCCATCCTGATAAAAACCTCAAAATGAGGTATATTAACATTGTAGCTTTGATTAAAATGAAATGCCATTTCCCCATTTTTACATTTACACTGGGAAATAGGTGTGGCAAGGTTTACCAGGAATGGGAAATGTTTATACAAACAATAAGTACTGGAAATAAGAAGCTCAGCTAGAAAGAGCAAAATTTACCCACCATTTCTTAAAAAATTGGTTGCTTTTATTTATCTGTGCCTTATTTTGAGAATTCAGTGAGGAATATTGTATTTGAAGACATTAGAATAAACATCCCAATGCAGTTCAGTGTATATGGTGAGTTGATAATAAAACAATATTCTTTCAGTATCTCTCAGGATTAGAAATATGCTGGCTTAAAACATTACTTAGCTGGATCAATAATTTTTCATATTTGAAAGTTTACTTTTCAAATCATTATCTACCAAAACGTTGCTTTATAATTGTACTTCCAGAAAAGAAGCCACATTTTATACTCACCATGTGTGGCCCTTTTTGCCAATACCATCAGCACAAAATTTGTTTGAGATGCTATATTGCAAATTGAAAGATATATTTGATAAACTACAATTCTGCTTAGAATGGATTTTCCCCCTCAGTCAGATATTTACTTTGCAAGAAATATACATGGTTAATAAGTATGATAATTTAGTGTAATGTGATCTTAAAGCTGGTACTAGACTAGAATTAGTGAATTAATGAAAACTAGGTATCTAAACAAGATGGCTGAGATACATGGTTTTTAAATACATGTGAGAGAGACCTATAGCTCCAGGTTGTCACTCTCATGTTAGTAGTTCCTCAATTATATTGTACTCCTTATCATAGGAAACATTTGTTGAGAGCCTATGATGTGAGAAAAGATTGAGAATTAAGATAGATTATACAGATGTCAGATAGATAGATAGATAGATAGATAGATAGATAGATAGATAGATAGATCCTCTATTCCAAAGAGTTGTAATCTCCTTAGGAAAATAGTCACATTTTGAAAGGTAGATAGTAATAATACTAGGTGACCTAAGCTGAGTGCCCAGTGAGTGATCACCATAGGAAATACTACAGGCTGGGGTAGTAATCCATTGATATTTGAAGTGACTGAGGGGTAGAATTTAAACTGAGCATTCCCATCAGAGTAGTGTTTGAAAGAGAGCAGAGATAAGTGCACAGAGAGAGAAGCAGGACTTCCCCTGCTATAACTGAAATATTTGAGTTCTAATCATAGGAAAGAATAATGCACCTTTTTTAGGAAAGCTGTGAAAAATGTTATATAGAAACCATGTACTTAAACATTTCTTCTGAGTAGGTTATGAATTATGTTTTTATTAATAGCTATTTCTTTATACCTGTCAGGCTGGATTTGGTAGATTTTCACTTCAATTTTTTTTAACAGGCTACCTACTTCCTATGATTCTCCTTGTCTTTCTACTTTTAACTTTGCATATTCTTGCTAAATGAATAATGCTGAATTAGTCTATTACATTAATCAAGTAAAAATAAAAACAATGTATATAGTGGTATTCCTTATAAGGCAGAAAAGTTTCCTGACCTGGTTTATGATTGTTCTTAGCAGAAATAAAGCTTTATGTATAGTTGTAGGTATATTTAAATCAAATCAAAATCACAGCAACATTGACTGCAAACTGATATTAGTATTTTTCTGTAGGCAGAAAAACACTCATGAATGAATTTGTAGAGAAAAGTGGAGTATGTCTGTACTGTTTTAGGAAAGCAGATTAAACTTTAGAAACAGGCTATTGCTGGGGTGGGGGGGCGGGGGGACGGAGAAAGCAGTAAGACCAATCCCTTGGGAAAGATATTAAAAGATGTATGTAGCCCTAGCTGGTTTTGCTCAGTGGATAGATCGTGGGCCTGGGAACTGAAGGGTCCCAGGTTCAATTCCGGTCAAAGGTATGTATCTTGGTTGCAGGCTCGATCCCCAGTAGGGGGCGTTCAGAAGGCAGCTGATCAATGTTTCTTTGTCATCGATGTTTCTAACTATCCCTCTCCCTCCTCTCTGTAAAAAAAAAAAAAAATTAAAAAAATATATATATATTATTCTATGATTCTGGGCAACCAATTAGAAAAGTTATTACTTATCACATAATAGCTAATACAGGTAAATATCTATCCCCATCAGCATAAATGCTAAATTTCATTTATATTGCCTCCACTGAAATGAACATTTCCTCCCAAAGCATAAAACGATAAGTGAACAAATAACCTTAAAATTCTGACAATGCATTGATTTCCATGATATTTGAATGATCCAAATCTGTAGAAATGTGTTATTTTTGTTATTTATGTCAAATAAGAAAATAAATTATCTGCAAAGTATTAGTTACCCCTGAGTATACCTTATTCATAATTGCCTTAAATTATTTCACTCACTAAAGAGAAATACTATTTTTTCCATAACTTCTCTAAAAATAGAGGTTACCATTTTATCAATACTCTGTTTTCAGCGTGAAATTATTTTTAAACATTAACCAAATATCTTTGTACTTTCCATTTCCTCTTGTAAATGACTACTTACTGTTTTATTTATTTTCCAGTGCTCTGAATTGAGTCTGCCTTTTATAAGGAGATATTTTCTTACATAAAACAAAATTCATTTTACCCTTTAAAATCAGAAAGGCCACAGGCCATATTTATCTTATTAAACTTCCAGTCTCTGTTGTTTTTCAGTTGTTTTTCTCTCCTGGAAATAAGCATTTGGAAAAAGCTCTGTCCTCCTCTCCTCATGTTAGCCTTTACTTATGAAATGCTGGGCTCCTAGAAATAGTTAACAAGCCCTCTCTTTTTTAGGTTCTCCCTATAGAGACAAGATCACCATTGCAATTCTCCAGCTGCAAGAGGAAGGCAAGCTGCACATGATGAAGGAGAAGTGGTGGAGAGGCAATGGCTGTCCGGAGGAGGAGAGCAAAGAGGCCAGTGCCCTGGGGGTGCAGAACATTGGTGGCATCTTCATTGTTCTGGCCGCTGGCTTGGTGCTCTCGGTTTTTGTGGCCGTGGGAGAGTTTTTATACAAATCCAAAAAAAACGCTCAATTGGAAAAGGTAAATGTCACCTTTTTACAATTTAAAACGATGGTCGTTATAATAAAAGAAACTATTTTTGATCTTTCCAACCAAGGGTAGTGCTTAGAAGTTTGACTCTTAATTGTCTTCTGCCATTCATTTATTACAGAGGTTCCCAGAGAGAATGCATGATCACCTTCGTGGTTTTTAATTTAAATGTAGTTTGTTTAATTGAGCCAGCTTCGGGGCAAGTGACTAGTTCTCTCCTCTGTTGAAGCCTGAAAAAAAGAGCTGCTTGGAGTTCATTGCAGTTAGATTAGTGGATGAATATAATTAAGGATAGAGGCAAAAATCAGAAACTATAATAATGAAGGAAAAATACTTCTCTTCAAATAAAACGTGTTGTAAGGTGCATTGCTGATTATACAGTTTCAAGACAGAGAGTAAATGAAATATTTATTTGAATATTTTTAGTCCTGCAAATTTTTAATTGAAAAAACTCTTAATCTGCATGTGGAAATTACAATTAACTTTTTAAAATTAATGAATGTGTAAAAATATTGTGGGACTTTTTTGGCATTTAATGTTATTCTTAATGAGCCCTTTATTTCCTTGCAGTGTCTTTTTAAGAATATATATAAACCTCAAAAATATTGAGATTATTGCACTTTTTCTTGGGATTTTAAAACATTTGGTTTTTTTAATGTAAAAATATCTTTATATTCTAATCTTGAATAGTTTGCAAACATCATTCAGATTATGTACTTCCAGTGCTATAATTTCCTTAGTTCTATAAATACAAGGAAGAATGTTTATTTTTTTTAAAAATCTCTCTTTTAGATGGTACAAGACAATTTTTGTATGTAAATGTATAGTTCTGGACATGTAACAATGCTTTAACATTTTAAAATTTTCTGCACTTTATTTTAGACTTTTTGTATCTAAATATCTCTTCTTTTTAATAAAAAAAATACATTTTGGGTGCTTAACTAGTTAACCCTGCATCAGAGTGAGACTATATTTTATTTAATATTTGCAAAGCATTTGAACTTTTTAAATAAATATGAAGAGTAGAAACATGATGTTTAAAAACATCATACATGAATAAAGACACATATATTCTCCTAACATTCTTTGAAGCACTTACATCCTTAAAACTATTTTTGAAAAAGAAAAACATTTTTTTACTTTGCTTTGCCTTTAATAATTTATGTTGCAGTTACTTATCCTTTCTAAAATAAAAAACAATTTGATACAGCATTTCTACATTTTCACTTGACTATAGTACTTAATTCTTAGAAACAATTTTTTTATAAATGAGTATTTTGATGGGTAACCAGTTTAAATTTTTTTAAAAATTAAAAATAGCACAAATTATTTTTTCACAGCATTTAGGATGGCTATGTGCTGACTTGGCTAAATCAAATATTTGTTGCTCTGGTGTGACTGAAAATAAGATCTAACTACACATTGTATTTTACGATCTTTTTTATGGTGTCAGATCAAATTCAAAAACTAACCAAAGACAAATAGGTTAACTCATCAATTTTGATTTATATTATAATTTGTCAATAGGTGTGATATTTGATTAGTTAATGCTTAAAGTAAGTCCAAAATAATAGAAGAAATTTGGATTTTCTAGTTGGAACTTTAATTATCCATACATCATGATTTTCTTTCTCTAATAGCTCAGTATTAAAATAAAACAAAAGAATTAATCTCTTGATAATATGTGGTGTTCTATTGTCCTTGTCTTGTGTCCTATACTTATGATTTACCTAAATCATGTCATTATGCACAATTATTTTATGCACAGTCTGCTTAAAAACAGAAAACATAGGATGTAGAGATTTAATTCTGTAAAATACCTTTTTTCATTATTATCCTATATAATAAAAGCCTCGTATGCTCAGTGTCCAGTCAGCCATTCAACCAATCAAAGCATAATATGCTAATGATATGCTAAGGACTCTCAACTGCTCACTATGACATGCACTGACCAACAGGAGGCAGACGCTCCGACCAGTAAGTTAGCTTGCTGCTGAGGTCTGGCCGATTGGGACTGAGCGAGACTGGCCGAGCACACCCTGGAGCCCTCCCGTAACCCCTCACCAGCTGGCCAATTTCCCACGTCCCACTCCAGCCCCAATGGTGCACCGGCGGTGTGTCCCTCAGCCTGGCCTGTGCCTTTTTGCAATCCAGGACCCCTCAGGGGATGTGCGAGAGCCGGTTTTGGTCCAATCCCACAGGCCAGGCCAAGGGATCACATTGGTGCACAAATTTGTGCACTGGGCCTCTAGTTAGAAATAATGAATTTGCTTGAATTTTAACATATTAACCAGCTTTCATGAATTTCTATGCACTTGTATGGCCTTATTAAAAATTAGTAAAAGGAATGTACTTTTTCTTCCTGAACCGGATAAAACATTACATTGAAAAGAAATAAAACAAAAGAAACAACTGTTTTGATAATACTAAGCATTATGTATCATATTCGCCAATGCTTTCACACATTGTCTCCTCATGGCTTCTGTATTGAAAGTCAAACGCCCTAGCTTAGCAGACACTTCAGGATCTGTCTCTGTCTAACACTGTAGTTTTACCTTTTGCTTCCCCCCAGTTGGCATTTTCTTCTCTAGCTGCACTAACATACTTTCCATTTTCCAAAGTCATCTAGTTTTACAAAACCTCTTCCATTTGACTTGAGCAAACCCAATGTATTTTTATACCTAGCTGATTTCAGGTACTATCATCATTCCAAAAAATATTCTCCCCTTTGGAAAAAGTTGGGAAGGTATTTCTGACATTTCAAACTATATCCATCAATAAGCCTAGATACCTTATCTCTGTGAGGCCTATGCATATCTCCATTTTCCCTTAGCATGTTATTTTATTGCATGTCATATTTGTTGGTTTCTGTGTGTGAGTGCCTCTCTCCCAAATGGACTCTTAGTTCCTGTAGGATAATGACCTAATTTTTTGGTTTGTACTCCAAGGTATCAAGTAGTGCCAGTCAGCATAAGATCTATTTATATCTATCTTTCTTTCTCTCTGTCTACTTATCTGTCTGTCTATCTATCTATCTATCTATCTATCTATCTATCTATCTATCTATCAACTAACTAATTTTTCTTTCTATTGACTTGAATTAATAATCAAGCTGAATCCAGTGACATATTTAAAAAAAACTACAATAAAGAATAAAAATGAACTGTTTTTATATAATTCAAAAGAATTAAGCTTAGCAAATAAATAATTATGGGTTTATTAGAGTGACCCATATTTTTATTGTGATAAATTAGGTTCTTGGACTCAATTTTCTTCATTTTTCTTGAAAAAAATTATTCATTTGGGCTATAGCGTTTAAGATCTTACTTAATTTATCAGAGTTAGTCAGAAAATATCCCCAGATTTTATTATAAGTTATGATTGATGGTATATAGAAATTCACAGTTTATTTACACTTACAACTGTGCCTAAAACCTAACTTTTTAAATTAAAAAAAGATTGTAAACATGTGTGGAATTATTCCTTTGCTCTAATAAATATTTATTGAGAGCCAAGCATGTAATGAATTATGCTTTGCATATTTAAAGTAAGAAAGGATTCACCATTTAGTTCCAAAGTGTTTTGCTATCTATTTTCTCGTCTCATTCTGCTTTTTCTTTCTTTTTTCTTCAGTCTATAATATTCTAGTACTTTTTAAAAGAACAAATACAATTTTTTGATCTAAGTAAGTTGGCAGATATAATATACACAGAGTTTAGTTGAATATGAACATTATGGAAGTTGATGACCATAACTTTTTATATTCCAAGTTGTTTGATAATTATGAATAGTATATGAATACATCGTTTTAAAATGAGGACAGGTTAAAACTGATTACAGAAACTGTATGCTGAAAGAAATAGTCCTTAAAAATTTCAAAAACTCTAAATTGCATTCCTTTCAGATAACCACAAGATGGTGTCTTCCAATTTTTATAGTAATTAAGGGTTTTTATTTTGATGCAGATATTAATGCCATAGTGATACCTTGATTTTTACTTATTCAGACTTTTTAAATAAATACATATTTATTTTTCTAATTTTTCTAAAGTGTCAATTGACCATTTGGAAAGATACTCAAAAAGTCTTCCTTCTCTGAAGTATCTGACATGTGCATTTTTTATTGATTGTCTTTTCTCCTTACTTTTTTGCTGATTTTAAAAACATTACTAGTTAAGGTTCATTCAGTAAGCCATCCAAGAATCTGATGTACATCTGAAGCAGTTATCAGTCCATTTCAAGTTGCATTTGTTTGCAGGTCCTGCTTCTCCCTTCTAACTGAAGAAAGCGGCCGAATATGCAAACCTATGTTTTCTCTGGTATTATTTATGATAATATATTGGTTTTGTAAGCATGAATTAGAAGTAATTGTAATAATTTGAATTTTTATAAAAATATTTTATGACATAACCATGATTTATTAATTTGCTTAAAATTACTTTCTTAAATATTTGAATGTGTCCTTTTAAAAAAGGTATAAATAATTCTGCCTTCTTTTGATTTCCAGCAATAAGAGTAATATAACATACATTTTAACTTTTTGTTTTTGTCTGATTTGTATACAGAAATATTTTCCCATGTAACTGAAAATAGATTTGCTTATGCAAATTGTTTCCATTGAACACATTAAACACAAATCTCTGAGTTTCTTGACATGAACTAAAACTTAACAAAAATATTCATTTTTTTTATTACTTACATTTAAACAAAGTGTAGTGAGTATGTCTGAGAAATAAAAATAAGAATTATTGCTCAGATATTGAATTTGTAACTTATGTGTCCTGTATTGGACACATATATTTATTCTAAGTTTCTTCTAAAATGATTTATGTGGATTTTAAGAACTACTAAAATTTATGTTTATCAGTATATAGTCCATTTTAGTCAATATAGTTATTTTTATTATAGAACACTGGTAAAACAAATCCAAGGTATCTCTAAATAATGGTATTTTTCCAGTCTCTGAAAGTTCAAAACATTTTTGAGGGCCCA